TGGATTCTGATTAGTTGTTAATAAGGCCTATGTAACGACCATGTAAATAAGGCCGGCCTCATTGGATTTACTAATGAGAAATTATAGAAATTATTTGTATTGTTATTTATTCATTGAATTCTTGTATTTCATGGGGTAAAGTGAGAGGAATGTTGAGTTTTAGGAGGCGTTGATGTAAATAAAGGCTTTTCTTTTTGTAGTACTTAATTTCAGTACCTTAAAAAGTAATGTTAGTTTTCATCAAATTCTTTACACTAAAGATTGGCTAAAGAAAGTAAAGGACATGAGTACCAACTAGCTCTTACACCCACCCCTACTTATAAAAAAATAATTCTAAAATATTAATGGAACTATCAATTTAGTCCTTAGTTTTCTTACCCAACAGGAGTTGCTTCCCTTCGAGCTATCCATGTTCCGCTACTATTTTCTCTTCGAGTTACGGGGGTTACAGTGAAAGTAGGTGATAAGGGAGCTTGGTTGGCACACTTCCAAGTTAGACCTGTTTTAGTGGGTATGGTCATAGAAGCCCAAGAACTTGATCAGGAATATGCTGACATAAAGATTTCGGTGGAAAAAGGGGAAAGGGAAGATTTTAATATCCGAAAGGATGGAGCATTAATGTGGGGAAACAGATTATACGTGCCTCAGGATAACGAAGCAGTGAAAAAGGAAATCTTGGATGAAAAGCACCTTTCAGCATATGCCATGCATCCGGGAAGCACTAAACTATATTGCATTATCTGTCCATTCTATTACTGGTTAGGAATGAAGCGGGATGTGGCGGATTATGTGAGTAGATGCATCATTTGTCAACAGGTGAAGGCCGAGAGACAAAGACCTAGAGGACTAATGCAAAATCTTCCGATACCAGCGTGGAAATGGGAAGAAATCACTATGGATTTTGTGTATGGTTTGCTGAAGACACAGTCGAGATTGGACGGCATTTGGGTAATTGTGGATCAACTCACTAAGATCGCTCACTTATTGCCTGTTCGATAGACCTATTCACTGGAGAAGTTGTCGAAGTTGTTCATTGATAATATTGTCAGACTTTATGGTGTACCTGTCTCCATCGTTTCAGACAGAGATCCCAGGTTTACTTCCAGGTTTTGGAAAACTTTTAATACTGCCATGGGTACTCAATTGCTGTTCAGCACTGCCTACCATCCACAGACCGATGGTCAGTCTGAGCGGACAATTCAAACATTGGAGGACATGTTGAGAATGTCTGTTCTCCAGTGGAAGGGTAATTGGGATAACTATATGTCGTTGGTTGAATTTGCATACAATAACAGCTATCATTCGAGTATCGGTATGGCATCTTATGAGGCTCTGTATGGGAAAGTGTGTCAGACGCCATTGTGATGGACAAAGGTCGACGAACGAGTGTTACTGGGACCAGAGATTGTGGACACTACTAATGCAAACACCCAGCTGATTAAGAGAAACCTAAAGGCAGCACAAGATCAACAGAAAAGTATCGCGGGCAAACATTCCAGGGACCGTGAGTATAAGGTTGGTGACTTTGTATTTTTTAAGTTGTTCCCCTAGAAGGGTGTTGTTCGTTTTGGTAAACGAGGAAAGTTGAGTCCTAGATAAGTCGGTCCCTATCAGATTACTGAGAGAATTGGTGCAGTTGCCTACAGATTAGAGCTACCATCGGAGTTGTCTTTGATTCATAACATTTTCCATGTTTCTATGCTTCGGAAATATGTACCAGATCCCTCTCATAACATTCAGTCAGAGTCGTTGGAAGTAAATCAGGATGCTAGCTATGTCGAAGATGTCACATCTCGGCCCGAGGCCCACCACATCCCGGGCCTGCTCCACCACCGTAGCACAATATTGTCCGCTTTGGGCCCCGACCACACCCTTATGGTTTTGTTTCTGGGAATTCACGAGCAACTTCCCAGTGGGTCACCCATCATGGGATTGCTCTCGCGCGAACTCGCTTAACTTCGAAGTTCCGATGGAACTCGAAGCCAGTGAGCTCCAAAAATGCCTCGTGCTAGGTAGGGATGAGAATAAACATTTAAGGATCACTCATCTGGGCAATGTGGGATGTTACAATCCACCCCCCTTAGGGGCCCGACGTCCTCGTCGACACACTTCAGGCCAGAGATTGGCTTTGATACCATTTGTCACATCCCGACCCGGGACGGATCACTTCCCGGCCCCGCTCCACCACCGCAACACGATATTGTCCGCTTTGGACCCCGACCACGCCCTCACGGTTTTGTTTCTGGGAACTCACGAGCAACTTCCCAGTGGGTCACCTATCATGGGATTGCTCTCGCGCGAACTCGTTAACTTTGAAGTTCTGATGGAACCCGAAGCCAGTGAGCTCCCAAAATGCCTCGTGCTAGGTAGGAATGGGAATATACATTTAAGGATCACTCCCCTGGGCGATGTGAGATGTCACAGAAGAACCAGTGGTTATCCTTGATCGACAGGATAAAGTGTTGAGAAACAAAGTTATTTCGTTGGTGAAGGTGTTGTGGAGGAACCATGTTGTTGAGGAAGCGACATGGGAAACGGAGGATCTGATGAGGAGTCAGTATCCGTTTTTATTTGGTTAAGGTTGTAAATTTCAACAAGATCTGAAAATTTGATTATTTTCATTCTCAAGCTGCCACGTGGCAGCACCCTAACAATCTTCATTTTTTTCTTTTTCTGTCCCCTACCCCCGTAAACCTTCTTTCTTTCTCTCTCTTTCTCTGCTCTCACTCCCTTCTCTTTCTTGAAACTCTCATCTCTCTCCCTCTTTTGCACCGTGAGCACACACACATACCCAACTGCACCACGTGCGAGGAAGACACCACCATCATCATCATCAAACCTCGTCTTTCTCCCTCTCTTCCGTCGCTGCGAGGAACGGCGAAACCAAGAAAATAATATTCGGCGAGTTCTTTCAGGTTAGGTAAGCATCGGGTCTTTTTCTATCCGTTATAGATCGATACTTGGATGTGGTTTATTGATTTTATCTCGTTATTTCCAAGGTTTTAGACCGATTTTGGCTTGGTGGAAAACACACCTAGCTCTGGCGAGTCCGTGGGTGTCGAGGAACTTTCCGAACAACTCTGACCGTTTCACGGCAAACGGAAGGTATAAAAACACTCATTTCGTCTTGTGCTTCATTTTGATACCTAAATCGGGGTCTAGGGTGTACATTTGTAGTCAGCCGGAGCTGTAGAAGATCCGACGTTTTTCTCTGATCGCACCAGGCCTTTCAGGCCGTTTCCAAGACTCTCGAGTCTTAGGCCCGTGGTGAACCCAGCCCAAAACCCTTTTCCATTTTGTTTTTAATTTATTTTTCTTAAACTTAAAGGCCCTTGGGCCATTTTATTTAGGACCTTAGGCCGGTGCATTCTAGAACCCAAAAACCCTTATGTGGGCCAGACATTAAGCCTGGGCCCGTGTGTTTAGAACCTAGAGATTTAAGGCCTTAGGGCCAATTAGAACTTGAGCTTTCAACCCCCTTCCCCAAACCCAATTTCCTAAACCCATTAACCCTAAATCTAAACCCAAACCCTTAGGGCCTAATCGGCCCAACCCTAAAGCCCTAAACCCGGTCCAACCCTAAGCCCAGACCCGTTTGACCCAGTCTGATCGTTGACCGTTGACCGTTAACAGTTGACTTTTTCTTTCAGGTTGACTTTCTATTTTCGTCCAAGACCTCTCCTAGGCTAAATTCGACGTCCTGGACCCGTTTTTGAAGTCTGTTTTCCCAAATTCAATCGTTTGAGTAGAGTTTGACTAAATGTACCCCTTTATGTGAATAGGTGAAATTGTTAGCAGTGATTCCGTTATTCCGTTTTGGTACGGCTTTGCACCAACGGTGTACGATCAATGGACCCCTTCTAAAAATGCATGTTTTGATAGTAGAAATGCATACATGAAAAGCATGATTTAATGATTATGTTTTATGAAACGTTTTGTGAGATAACATGCTTACTGAGGCTATTTTGAATTATTATTATTTTTCCTATAACTCGTGTTCTTATAGAATATATGATGGATGACGATATGATATTTAGAACACGTTTCGAACACCTCTTTATAGTATACTATGAAGTTGCTTTTCAATATATATATGTTCAATGGTTTTGTACTTACTAGTGGTCCTTTCCGCTACGGGATGTAGGGATAGATTCCGGTCCGTCCCAGGCGACGGTTTGGTGTTGGCATAGGGCCTGGAGTGTGTTTCCTCTAGCTATTTAGCACAAGGACGAGGAGTCGGCATGAGGCATGAGGTAATTTTCCTCTTACTGTCTGCTCAGAGACGGGGAGCCGGTATGGGGCTTAGGGGTTATCGGACAATTCACTAGTGATTATTATATATACAAGTTATGATTTGAGACATTGCACGACATGCTAGATTTCGGAAAACTTATGTTTATTGTTATATATGTTGATAGTTGTTTTATTTTATATATATATATATATATATTTATATATATATCAACTTGGTCCACTCACGTTTGTTTTGTGCCCCCTTCAGGACCTTATAACGAGGAATACGATCTGAACTACGAGGAATTTCCCTACCAGTGATTTCGTGCTATATCTTCTCTGCTTCGGCACCTATTGTAATAGCACTTCTTTATCTTGAATTCTGCTTGTACTCTGTATTAGACGTGTACTCTGAACATTATGTGTGTTATCGTAATTTTATTAATTTAGCAGTTGAACTTTAGTATTGTGTTATTAGTCCCTATTGCATGTTTTAGCATATTTCTCAGCTTTTGCTTAAATTAAATGGCTTTCGTCACCCTTCGGGTGTCGGCCAACATGTGATCATCCCGATGTCCCGAGAACATCGGGATCGGGGCGTGTCATAGCTATTGATTAGTAAGCTTCTCAAGTTTATATGACCTAAATACTCACATTGATATGTAGTCGACTGTAGAAATAGAATAGTATCATTTTCGTGATAAGTAATTTAAAGAGTACACTCGAAAATGGATTTGTTCTTCTTATTGTATTCAACAAGTTCATGCAACTTTATTCTTCTATTCCGACGAAGAGTAGCAAAATAGTATTTTGCAGCAATTCCTTATTCCATGCTCAACAAGCAACCGTTCATCCTTTTCAGTGTTCATGAAATGATCCATAAGATGACTAGTTTTTGGCCGATCCCACTTTAAACTTGACTCTGCCTGGTGTAACTCTGTGATGCCATCATTTTCTTTTTACCCATGTTAACTTTGTGTTATTACAGATATGCCATCATTTTTACAAAGTATATATACTGTATTTTTTTAAAATTTTTTTATTCTTTGTTCTCCCTTCCCTCTTCCTTCTCGCTCTTATCTCCGTCACTCGGTTAATGACGACGGCGAGCTATCCGTTCGAAAGCCGGCGAATCGGACCTCACCGTTTCACCAATCGTCTCCCTTTCATCTTAGGAACAAGAAACACCAGTCGCATATCTCGATTCGTTAGGGTTTCGACGAGGATTTTCGAAAACTCCGACGTTTTTGTGACGATTGCGGCGAAGATCGGCGTCGAGGTTGGTCTCAAACTATTCCTCAGAACGTCAGGTACCTTCTGCATCTTTTGCACTCAAAGATCTGCTTCAAATTTTTTATTTAATATAATTGGGTTTTAGTTAATTTTTCGTGGATTTTGTCCTTTAAATTTCTGGGTTGTGCACAAGTTTTCATTAAATTTTTGGCTTTTTTTGGTGTGATTTTATCTAAAAGTTATGGTTACCTTGAAGGATGGTAAGCCCCCTCACTCTCCTCTTTCTCTCTCTCTCTCTCTCTACACTTTGTGTAGATTATATTTTGTTTGCTTGCAGAGTTTTTGGTTCTTAAAAATCTCCAATTTTTTTATTTATTTGGTTTCCTCTTAATTTTATTTATTATTGATTGTTGCCTAAAAATCTATGAAGGGTTTGCTCTTTTGATCGTGGACTAAAGGATTTGGATGAATTATGATAATCTCTTTAACTTTAACTAGCTTCAAATAGAAGCTCTGAGTTTTCATTTCTATGGAAGCATGGCCGAAAACTATCCCCAAAAGATCTGTATTTTAATGGTTAATTCATTTTGGACCCTGGAATACGAGTTTCAAACGCTTCATAGATAGCATTGCAACTTCCAGATCATGCTGATAGCAGAAAGTGCTTTTGGCTTATATTAAAGCAGTTGATAAAGTTGTTCTTCTTGCTTGATATTTAGTTCGTATTTTGATCTTCGACCAAATTCCCAGAATCAATCCACCGTATATATGTTTTTCATTACTCTTTATTAAGAGTACCCTTTTGTGCATATAATTCATCAGCAGATCTCAACAAAAGTTGTATATGATTTTGTATAGAGAGAAAGCGGGTGGGATATGAGCAGTAGGCGTTCTTACAAGAATGATGAAAATTTGGCAGAAGACAGTATATGTTGATGAGTTCGAGAAAAAGAAGAAGATAGCATCTCATTTGAAAAGAGCAATGAGTAAGAGTAATTTTGGGATAGCATCTCATTTGAAAAGAGCAATGAGTAAGAGTAATTTTGGGTCCATCAAAAGTTCGATCTCATTGATGCAAAGCTTGAAGAGCATTAGATGTGAGGATCCAAGCAGTGTCCCGGTTGTGGACACAAAGCTCGAAGGAAAGCCGGTACGAGTAATCATATTAATCCAACAATTAATATTCTTAGCTTGGCATACAGTACTTGGTAGTAATATTTTGAATATGAATTAAAATTTTATTCTAAATTTTTTATGTTAATATAAAAAGGGTCCATCTTTATCTTTTACTTTAATTTGTTTGTTTACTTTTTTATTTTGGTGCTTTAATTCCATGTTTTTAGTGGGATTTGTTACAACCATCCTGCATAATTAACCTCCGGGAGGAACATGGGTGAGCTCATGTTTTAGTTTGTCTCTTTCATATCTTTCAAACGTAATTCAATACCTAAAAATTCAAAAATTGATCAACTAAGAGGCAAAAAATTGTATTAATTAGTTGTACAATATTGTACCATGACACTGATAGAAAATTGACTGTATATGCTGTAATACAACCTTGCATATATGGTGAATTTATTATGTCAAGAACCACTCACTTTACATCTTATTAACTTGCTGTACAATTCAATCCACAAGCATATATAAAAAAATAAAAGATTTTGCGTTTTTTTTTCTTTCATCTTCTGTCCATATACGAATCCCTCACGACTTTGGAATGTTACAAGCCATTGAAATTCCTCACAATTATCCAGTAATGTAGAACAGAAGCCACCAAATTCTTATGAAATATATATATTTTTTTTCTTTTCTTTCATCACATGATGATATTAGATGTGTTTGGGTTATGAGTACATCATACATTCATATATTTTTGTTGAACATTTGCCAGAATTATATATCTGGAGGGGGAGAAACATTTGTACAGCCAAACAGTCACCTTCAACCCTAATCTTAATCTATATAACTTGGTGCATACCATCCTTCCCTTCCCCCTTTTCAAGCATCAAAATAGTGGAAATGTTGGAGGTGTCTGTGGTCTTTTCATTTAGTTGGTCTGGTGCTTAAGTTTGCAGCTTCCTAGGACATAAGTTATCCTTACTACTCACTTCATAATCCACGGCTTCATTGAATCCAATATTTTTCTCACTCTTTTTGCTTATTGTGGAATTTGGGTTTTTTTTTTTTTTTTTTTTTTGGTGATTTTTATTGGTTAATTGGTTTTGTTGCAGGTTAGAGCGGTCGAGGTTCAAAAGATACTGGTAGAATAGAACTCAGACCGGTGAGTTATTATGCTTACTGCTCTAACTGTTTCACTTACAATTTTAATAAGCTTCTTTTGCTGAATTTACTTTTGATTATCATTTTTATGGAATTCAACATTTGAGTTGATTAAAATTGGTAATTTGTTTTGATTTGTTGTCATATAGTTGATTAGTTGGTAATTTAATGCAAATATTTTGCTTTAACTTCTTAAGAATCCAGATATTTTCCAAATCACAATCTGATTTGGATTGCATGTAGTCTTACATGTAACAAATGAAAATTCAAACAAGTAACGTTGGTGATGAAATTGACGATTTATAAATTATTTGACAATCCTGACCTAAGATGTGGGATCGTAGTTGGATTGCAATACGGGTTTATGAACTTGAAAGGTGTAATATTAAAAAATGTACATCCCATCTACAGGAAAACGAAGAAGAAAAAACGAAGTAGAAAGAAGAGTGAAGTACTTGGTGGCAATAGAGAACAACGTCAAAAGTAACCAAGATGCCTTTTCTATGTAATATATTCTACAAACATCTTTTTTTTTTCCCTTATTGAACATATGTAATAGATTTTGGTATATTTACTATATTTTGCACATTTAATCAGTTTTAAAACCCGCAGTATTGCGCAGGCTAAATTGCTAGTCAAGTCTATATGAAGGGGAAAAATGTACAAACTTTTGAGAACCAAAATTAAGTTTGGGAGATATTTGAAGGGAGAATGCGATAAGGGAAAGAATGGGGAAATTAAAGGAGAGAACAAAATTTTGTGAGTTTTCCTACTTTTTGTGTTCATATATAATTTAGGTTGGGTTTTTCAACATGAAGCAAAGGAGTGCTAGCTTCTGAGTGTTCCTTTAAGATTTTGTGCTTTCTGGCTCAACACTTTGGGATGCCTGAATTTGAAATTGGTGGGCGCTACATTAAAAATTGATGAGCAGTCAAATGAAACTCATGAATCTCACTGTGACCTTTCCTACGGTGAAAAGCTACAATGAAACTTTTCCTCAACATATTATTTATTTATTTTATTTTATTTTAAGTACAAATGAGACATATTATTTAAATTTCATACATAGACAAGCAACTGCAAATTAACATGTACATATAATGCACGCTAGAAATTAAATGGGAAAGATGAGGGAGAAATTAAGTGGGAAACTTAGCGTTGTGCGCATTGGGAAAAAGAACACACCGTTTGTATGAAAGTGAGTATGATGATCAAAGTAGCAGCAATTACAGAAATAGTTGTCCAAGGTGAGTTGAAATATTTTTGTTTCAGATCTGCCTTCCATTTGTTCCACCTCTTATTGTAGTACTTGTTGAGGCCCTTAGTAAGAGTAGCATAATAGAATTTGTCTCTGTGAACGAAAACACCTTTGCCAAGGCTGTTAATCAGAGTAGACACCTCAGTGTTGTCACCAAGCAGATGTTCAACAATTCCATTCTTGACAAGCAATTCCACATCATTTGGGGTGTTCACAAAATAATCCATGAGGAGGCTATAATCACTGAAGTAGTAGGTTTCGGAGTACAAGCTCCGTGCCATCGTATATATTTAGATTTGGAATTTCCAAAATTCCGTCTTTGAAACATATATCAAATAGATTCTTGCTTGATCTCGCCTTAAACTTGACTCCAGCCTGGCGTAGTTTCGTCATGCTGGGTACAGCTAGAGTTTCGACTGACCCTCGATTTTTGAAGTTCTCTTCCGGTGTTGGTAGATGTAAAGTTCTAACCAAATCAACAAAATGCTCTACTTTAAAACTAGGACGTTCCCAATTGCCTTTTCCCATATAGAAATTCGTTGATTCCTTACAGAACTTGTAAAAGAGGTCAAGTACTGAAAGCTCCGTAGCCAGCACCTCACTGACCTCAGCAGTGGCAAAGAGATCCTCAAGAATGAAAAACGGGAGCTGATTTTCGAGCAAAAGCATGTCAGGTACTATAAACTTTATCAACCATGGTTTGTTAAAGATGCGGTCTTCGCTATCCGGCAGGAAAGGCGAATAATTCCTTAATAAGAGCTCAATGATGAACGCGGCATCCACAAGAATGATTCTTACAAATTCATCACTGCACAACCCAATGGTGTGCGCATAGCAACCGCGCAGTTTCGCTTCTTTGTCCTTTATTTTCTCTACACAAACTTCCAAGCTGACCCCAGTCCGATCTAAAAAATACTGAAGGTACCTCTTCTTGTGTTCTTCCATGTCTTCTAAGCCTTCCTTGCCATGGTGAAGCGGACCTATAGAGACTACTTGAGGTGTGTAGGCCTTTTCATTTACACGCCGTAGTTCTTCAGGAACTCTGTAGATACAACACGAATTGGACAAGGGAAGCAAATCATCCAACTCCTGACTCATTGAAGCGGACAAGGAAAGCAAACCATGCAACTCCTTACTCATTGAAGTTAGTAACGGAGTGCAAGGGCTTTCGATGTCATGTGGAGCTTCGTTGCTTCCTCCCATTTAATGTTGATGGGTTTGTTGTTATAAATCGTAATTGCTGACAACGAGATGATGATCCCTGACACATCAATAAACAAATTATTCCCTAACAGAGAAAATTAATTCAAGCATTGAGAAAACATGACAACAATCAAAACCAATCTAGCTAATAGAGAAAACTATTAATCCAAGAATTGCAAATATATACACCCGAAAAAAATTAAATTTTGTTTTATATATTTGGGAGGAGCGCGTTTAGTCAAATTGGATTAATTTCTTCTATATACCCTCTTATATTTGGTTTTAGTCAATGTGGGATGAGAGAAAAATATAAAGCAAAATAGTAGTATCTGCAAATAATAAGGGGACATAATCTTGTATTCCTGTAGTATTTTCATAGAGTTGTCATGTGAAACCACTTAAGTCTAACTCATGTCCCACCTGCAACTGAAAGAGGTTTTATTTTATTTTAGAGTAAATTACATAATACCACCTTAACTATTGAGACAGTCACAGTTTCATACCTCATCTTTAAAAAATATCAATGTCATATCTCATCTACGAATTTGTTACAATTTCATACCTTTCGTCAGTTTGTCTGTCAATTGTCATACCTTCCGTAGTTTTATGTTATTTACTCTTTTTTTTTTAATTTTGGTATTTTGATATTTTGGCAACAAAGAAAAAAGACAACCCAATAAAACTAACAAATATTCGACATAAAAATAAGAGGTTTCTCCATTTTAATCCTTGATAAAGATTGAAATTCAATTAAAACCTTATGTTAGATTATATATTTATTATAGTCCCTTGACTAAGTTTCCATGTCAGCATAAATATTAAAATTCATATTTTCTTGTTTTTAAATATTTAATGCGTTTTTGGGGTTCCTATAATGCCCTTATTAAATATTTGATTTTAAATGGCTCCATATTTTTTGGCATTGATTATTGTTTGACTTTCTAAAACGATAAACACAATTCAAAAAATTAGTGATATGTTACAAGAATTAACAAATACCTAATTCAAATGATTCATTATCAACATTCAAAGCATAGAGGAAATAAAAATAGCCAAATCATATATTATACATAATCGAATGCACTCAAACCATGTCTTAATGTGCTTAAATCATAGAACCTAGTCGAAAGAACATAAATCATAGTACCAAGTCAAATGCACATAAATCATAATACCAAGTCAAATGCACCTAAACCATGGTACCTATCACAATGCACATAAATCACAGTATCTAGTCAAATGCACCTAAATATGTAATCATATTATCTATTTGAATGCACCTAAATCATAGTACCTATATGAATTCACCTAAATCATTTAGGTACCGTTAATTAGGTCCTATATATTCGGTACGGTCGGTTAGGTATTATATAGTGTATGTCTGATTAATTCGGTACGGTCAATTAGGTTGTGATTTCACATTCTATTTTCTCTATTTGTATTTTTTTTTCATTTATCTCTGGATTCACTGTCAATTTGGCATCTAAAAGTCCCTTTATCTTCTTTCTTCCGAATACAACGAGATTTTTGGTTTCTAAGTTTTCTAGCTTTTTTTGTTTGATCATGGTTTCTAAGTTTTCTGGGTTTTGATTGGAATAACACATGGAGGTTTATGGTAATGTTATTGTTATAACGAACATGTTAATTAAGCATTCTTGAAAAATTAATTATATATTTGTTTCTCTAATTGGTTTTAAGAGAGTAACAAGGGTAAATAGGGAAACTAAAAATGCAATAAATTTATTAAAAAATGATTAAATGTGACATGGAATACTATAATCTGACATGGAAGACTATTTTTAATTTTTAATCTTACATACAATATTATTGAAAAAGCAACCTTATTAAGGGATTGAAATGAAGTTTTCTATACTCTAAAACTAACAAATCATTGAATTGTCCATCTATACAATTATTCGAAAACATGTCTCTATAGGCAAAAAAATTTATTTTATATTTCCCCAGGCAAGTGTCTTAAAAACAAAACTAATTGATTTAACAAACCAAGCTGACGTGACATTCCCGTGGGATTGTGACATAACCCTTTAATTCATCACCGACTGCTCAAGTGGAGCCAAATAGATGTTGGTATGTAAAGTTGGCTCCATAGTCCATACGAGATCAGAGGATGTGGAGAGGCATTTTACATTGGGGAAATACACTAATAATTTAAAAATTAATTATAAATAGTTCACTCCTAATTATACACTCCTAATTATACGGAGTCTTTTGATGATAAAATTTCATAGTTGAGGTTCATTGAGCCAGATACCATCTATATATTAGACTTAAATGTTTAATTGAAGGTAATATTAATGCAGGTTGTACTTAATAGTGGACATTTATAAAACTGAAACATATATACACAGTCAAACTATTCAACTCAAAGATATTAAAATGAAAGCTGCATCATTGAAGATGATTAAATAAATTGAAAATATTAAATAATCTATTCTATTAAGAGAACCCTCCTTGTCAAATTTTGCCTTTTTTTTTTTTTTGGCCCTCACTTTTGATATACAATAGTAGGGCAAAATAGTAATTTTGTACCTTTTAACAAAATTACAATCATATTCCTATTTTTCCTATTTTACCCTCTTTTTTTTTTTTTTTTTGAGAAAATGACAATTATATACTTATTTTTTCAATTTTACCCTCACTTTTGATACACAATATTTGCATAACGAGGACAAAACAATAATTATGTAATATTAAAAAAAATATACACTTATTAAGAGAAATTGTTTCCACATAAAGTATGTGCTCTCTGCTAGTATACATTAACAGAAGATGTAGAAGAATAATTTAATCTTGCTATAATAGTTAACCAGTTTGCATAAATGACTAGCTCAAGTTGTGAACAAATTGATGAAATGTGATATTCATACAAGAAACCAATTCGTTCTTATCTCAAACATGAATCCTTCTTAACTTTGGCCGATGACAACAACAATAACAGAGTGACATCAACAAGGTTATGTCATCAGGCGCGTGAAGATAGACGAACTTTAATTTAACAGACGGACGCTGCTTCGCTGCTGAACATTTCAGCAGGAGGTCCTGCTTACATCCAATCTCGTGTGAACACGTGTTCAAGTTTTGATTAAAAAAATCAAAACTTGAACACGTGTCCATCCGGAATTAGATGTAAGCAAGATCTCCTACTGAAATGTGCAGCAGCCAAGTCTTATTCTTTAACAGACAATATAATTTGGGGCATGAGGCCAATAATTATAGAACAGAGGCATGCACACTACCATTCAAACATAAAAACTGAAGTCTTCAAGAAACAAAAAAATATATACCTCTATTTAGTTTTGTTTCTTCTGATTTGATTTGTTCAAAGACTAGAAATAATAAATACGAGTGTCTAAGGAAAGAAAAGATGTACGTAGAAATCACTTCATAGCAGATACATAAAGTATTATGCTTCTATTCAAACTTAAGTGCAATAAAAAGTAGATCAACTTTCTCTAAATAATAGCACATGTTCAGAAAATTAAGACTTTTATGTGCTTATAGAGAGTTGGCTACTCCCCGATCAACATTTTTCTTAATAATAAACCAATATGTGCAAGAAAAGCTTACCAGAAATGCAAGAGTTCCTATGTCGGCAGAATTTGAGGCTTGTCAATTATAAATTATGGAACTTTAACGAAAAGTTCCCGGTATTGTTTACTTTAACAAAAAATCATATTTTTACACTAAAAAGTAAATCATGGTACTATTCATTTGACCCTTTATTTTGTCTTTATCGTTAAAACTCAAAATTTTCAAACATTTTCATTAGTTTTCCTTATAAATTATTGTAAAAGGAAATATATGTATGATATTATCATATAGTGACAGGGACTCTTATATATAAGAGCGAGAAAGTTAATAATTTTCTTAAACCTAATTTAATATCAAATTCGTCATCCATGAGATTCGAATATAAGACTTCTCACTTCTAAATAAAGATAAATATCACCAGACTGTAGTACTAAATGACTTACTACGTGTTTGAACTTCTTCACATGATGTTGCATATATACATGCGACCCTGCTATCTTAACGTACGCATTTAATATAAGTCATTCTCATATATAGTGAGACTCAATACATATATACCCACATATACAAGTTAATCCAAATTAAAATACCAATCCCAATATTTTCACAGGGATTGAGACTTCAGCTGTCCTCCTCCAACGAACAGGTCACTCTGTATGCTTCAATTAAAAATGCTATATGTGTGTTCCTCAAAACATTCAAGAGACAAACAAAATTCTACTGAAAGTTAAAATAAGACATGTTTCTATAACTACCTAGTCTACCCTTCTTGATAAATTCCAATTTCCAACTACCATTCAAACATAAAAAGCTAAAATCTTCAAGAAACAAAAAATACATAAATTGAAAAGGCAAAAACAAAAAACAAAAAACAAAATGTAGGTTTTATACATAAGTAGATTTTTATTTCCCCCCTAAAAAAGAAAGTAAAAAAATAAAATTAATTGATTTAACAACGTGACGTCCCCATGGGATTGTGACATAACCTTTTAATTCATCTCCGACTGCTCAAGTGGAGCCATGTGGTGGTGTAAATTTGGCTCGAAAGAAGCCAAGAGGATGTGAAGAGGAATTCCACGTCGGGGAAGTACATCAACAAGAAGATCTAAATAGAAGAAGTTTGGTCTTAAATATTAGGAGTTTTTTGTAATAAAACCCAGCAGTTAAAATTCATTAAGCTCGAATACTATTCATATATTAGGCCTAAGTGGTTAATTAAAGATAATATCAGTGTATAGTTGTACTTAATAGTGAACACTTATAAAAGTGAAAAATATATACACAGCTAAAACAAAATTGAAACATATGTACACAACCAAACTATTCAATTAAAAGATAATAAGAAGAAATCTGCAGCATTCCCTTAACCGGTAAATATGAAACTAAAAGCTTCAAAAAATCGATATGTGCAAACATAGCAGGGAGAAGAAACAAGCGAGATGAAAGATTATAAATTGAAAAGTGAGTTTCTATTGGTACTAATAAGTCATCTAACACATTTAAAAGTGAAATTTATTGTTTTGAAAATGAGTGTGTGATAATGTTTCGAAGTATCAATAACAATACTTTACATTGAAAATTAAAAAAAAAAAAAGTGAATTCTCACCTGCTTTGTATACAAAAAAACACGCAAGTTTGTATGTTGAATTTGCCTCTTGTAGATGACTAAGAAAACTCAATACATGTTACATTACTTGCTCATCTGACAGATGATAAATAAATTTTCTTTTAACAATAGCTGGTTATATATAACCCTTCTTCAATATGCTTTTGCAACACGTGTTTAATTGGCCATATTAAATTAATGGTTGGACACAACAACCAATAAGAATGACATCACCAATATTACGTCATTTGGCAATAATGGTGCCTTCACATGGAAATAGAAAAACTTTCATTTAACGGACATAAATATTTGGGGCCATTACTTTAGTCTAAAGAAAGCATTGCAATGGGCACTGTTGTTGACTGTTCACTGTATCTGAATTTCAGTTTATTTACAAGATTACCACTCGGATGCTTTTAACCAATTTCCACTTAATTTACAAAATTGCCACTCAGGCTTAAAAACCTATTTTTAGCCGTTGGCTGCATTTCACGTTTGACTCGGTGAGAGAGGGGAGGGGGAAATCACGCCTGACAAATTGGAGAGAGACAACAGCTGGGTGTGCCTCTGGCGAGCGGAGAGGGGGATAGAGCGACTACAGGAGGGAGACACAGGGCCTGACAGATTGGAGAGAGATGGGAGCTACAGGTTTGGACTGAGTGAGAGAGATATTTAGGTAGGTGCTCTGCCAGGCTCTCTCTACCGCTAATCTTGATGCACACGTGTTGATGATCGTGGGAAGGGAAGAACGATGGTAAAGCTGGCCTTTTCCATTTCCTTCTCAAACCCTTATTGCCTCTTCCGTCTCCCACACCCTGCGAGAACGACGGTCTCGCCTCCATCCTATCCTCCAGTCGCCGCTACGACAAAAACCACCTTGGAGCCAGTATAAAGGGGTATGAATTTGGATCTGAAACGAATACCTTTGTATATTTGGTTTTGTAGTTAATTTCACCTTCTGGGTTTATGCTGGGTTTTAGTACAATTTTAAAGGGAGGTATAATCTGGTGAGGTTTCTCAAGACCATGCAGAAGGCAGGGCTTTATGCTCACCTTCGCATTGGCCCTTATGTTTGTGTTGAGTGGAACTTTGGGTAATTGTTTTCTCTAGATCTATAATTTTGGCTTTTTTCTTTCTTATTTTTTAGGATTTTCCACTCATTATATTTTCCTCTCCTAATTTTAGAAAAAAAGTATTTAATTTTTCTGATTGTCTGGTTTGTAGGGGTTTTCCTATTTGGCAGAGGCAAGTTTTGATTTTTACTTTTCTTTTTTCTCACAGGGGGCTCTCGGAGAAGCATGTAATGGAGACACCACTTCTGTCATTATCTTTGGAAGTATTTGATGGTCGACTGGATGATCCTATTAGCGTGTCCATCCGAGGAGGTTTGTATTCATCTTTCCACTGTTTTTGGAAAAATGTGTAGAAATCATAAAGATGCTTCTGAAGATAGGTAAGCAACAATTTCTAAAATTTTAGTGTAATCTTTTTTCATTATGAAGTTGTTCTAATGCTAATTAGTGATTTCAAACAAATTATGTGAAGTGAAAAGTGAAATTTTGTATGTTAAGCCACCACCACCTAGACCAAAAAATAAACACCCGCCATTGCTTTTTAGCCATCGTCTCCTGCGATCCATTCAAATCTCCGATCGAAACAAGTATTTACTTCTGATTCCATTGATTTCAGATCGTTCAAATTTTCATCATAATTTGCAATCAATCTCCCAAATTTGTTGGATTTAGGGCTTTGTATCTGAATTATTACTGAAATTGTGTGATGGGTTGAATGCAGAGAGAAACTTAGGGAAAGATGAGCGACGTATTCGAAGGGTACGAGCGCTACTACAGTGAGCTCTCCGCCAACCTCACCAAAAAGTGTACGGTAGCTGGTGCTCTCAATAGAGGCCAATTTGTTTTTCTCACTTTTCCTTATTTACTTATTTTTGTGAATTTAATATATACATGTAGTTGCGTTATATTTTGGATGATTTATGTTGTATTCAGTTGTGCTGGTGTCCTCTTCAACGATTACTTTTGTCTCGAAATCTTCCGTTCTAGCTCTCCATACAAAACCCAAATCTTTGGTTCTCTCTAACTTCCTCTTTCCTCTTTTTTTTTGGTTGATGTTAATCTCGCGCCGATGGATCCCTTTGATTTGAAATGGTATACTATTGCTACTTCATTTTGCAGCTTTATTATTTTCATTTGATTTTTATAATTTTTTGTATTTTACTTGCATTTAATTTGTTGAGATCTTTTGAATTCGGCTGCTTGAGTAATTAGGGATTTGGTTCCTTGGAGTGTCCTTAGGAGTAGCAGATTGAATCGATGAGATCGATGGCTTTGCCGTCTGGGATTCCGAAGTTGTTGCCGGATTTCCGACGAATTTCCAGTCCAGTTTGTGCGCGGCCTGTCTTCAGATCATAGTGAAGCGAGTTTTATTCAACTCAGGTACTGTATTTGAGTTTTAATTTTGGATTTTTGTTAATTTGGACGACACCCTAACAGTTTGGTTTTGCGGTGAGTTGTGGTGCTTTGTCAGGGCTTTCCCAGCTAAAAGGGGATTTTGCGTTTTGTCTCCTCAGTTGATAAACCTGAGATTTGACAGTAGCTAGAACGCCACTGTTACTTTTTGGGTATGTTTTCTGTCCTACTTTTTCCCAATTTGAATATGTATTCATAGTTGTCGGAATAAAACATATCTGTAGTTTTTGGGAAGAGCTGATGAATGATGGTATCTGTTCCTTCCATGTTAGAAGCATTTCGTGGTTTTATTTCATCTTATCTGCATGATTACTTGCCACCACCTCCGCTGTTTCCTGTATTTTCTCGATTTTTTTTGCCTGAACCAGATCTATCTGATTGGTCTAATTCTTAACTTCGTGTGCTTTAGTCTTAGATTTTGAATATTGAGAAATTTGGATCTTCATGTGATTTACCATGCAGGATATTGAGTCTGTATGACATCAATGAGGAGGACATTGATGGTGTCACTGATCGTTCTCAGCTTTCAACAGTAACACAACCATCTCCACTCCAGATGCAGCTACCCATATTAGAGTTGCCAAAAGTTTGTTCTTCTCCATTCTGTTTATTTGTGATATTCATGTAATTTCAAATCCAGCATAGGGACATTAGATGCTAATAATTGTGTTGCGTTTATCTAGAACCTCCAAGGTATTTAGTGCTCCTGCCTCCACCTTTCTGGAGTTGTTATTGCATCTACTTAGTTTGCCTGAGTCGGCATGAAATATCTTAGTTGTATCTTTATGATATTAAAGCGAGCCTATTTATGCTTGTTCAATTAGTTCTAGGTTTCTTCTTTATATAATGTGGTTGTCACCTTCGTTGGAATTTCTGAACTTTTTGAGATGTGAGATATCTCCATAAAAATAATGCTCATCATATGACGGGTAATTTAGTAGAACAATATTGATACCGTTGCTTGAGTTGCGGGCATTATGTTTTCCTCTTCTAGAATTGTGACTCTAGGAGCTTTTTATGATTCACCATTTCTGTTTTGCTTCTGTGATGATATTTGGATTGGGATTCCTATTTCAGTGTCGTTTTCTCCCATCTCTATAGGATATCTTTGCCACAATTAATCACCCCCAAAAAAATTATTTGCATTGATTGTTTCCATCACTGGTCAGTGGACACAGGTTCTGTAGATCAGTTAGCATGTTTTGTTCCAATGTACTATCAGGAACAACTGTTCCTGAGAAGTTGAAGAGTACCATTCAACTTTTAAAGTTTTGGATTTCAAAAGATTAATCGACTCCATAAGCTATTAATAACTTGATTCCATAGAGACACCGGAGGGTCCTAATAAAGCCACTCAATCTGCAAATGTCAAATAAAGCAACTTATAAGTCTTATATATCACTCACCCAACGCATATTACTTTGTCTGCAATGGTACTGAAATATTGGTATACATCCCAACAGTGAGCATACATTTTCAAATATCTGCCACTTCAAGTCTCTGTGTGTGTTGTTTACCCCAGACTTTGCACATCAATTTGGTTCTGTTTTCTTGATGGTTTGATGCTTTTTGTGTTGTGTTTTTCGGTCAATTGACTAGGTTCATATGATTAATTCACATGGTTTCCATGCCATATTGGTTGAATTTATTTTAACTATATTTATTTTTGGTGCAGCCATATCCTCATATGAACAACAAGTGGAAGGTTTACAGAACATTAACCAATTAGTTGGGCTATTAGTTCCTTTACTTTGTGGTGTCCCTATTGTGAGTGAAAAAAAATGTTCAGGTACTTTATAGTTAGGAAGATTTAATGATGCTTTTTCTATGTACTTTACTTTATTATGTTTTGATAAACGGAGGTTCAGCAATAGGTTACTGAAATTATCACTTATATATATAACCTCCACCACAAAGTAATTTCCCAAGAAATGTGTAGTACTTTGTCTTCTGGGTTAGTGTTCTCTAATTTAGATTAGACATTAGGGCTTTGAGCTTGGTAAGGTTTCTTTTCTTGATGCACCTCATTTTTTTATTTATTGTTTTTCTTTTTGGAGTTTTTGATTTACAGATAAATTCAACATTTAAATTCTCTTTTTGTGATCCTGTAGATTTTGTCTTTGTAATCAGATGGTTGATATCGATGTCTGATTTCGTTCTTCTTCACTTTCAAGAAGCATCGGTGTTTATTGAAGGTATATAATCCGTTTAGACATTTAGTTTTCAATGTATCAAGTATTTTGTGTTGTTAGTTTTCTGTTACTTTTGTTGCTGCCTGCCTTTTTTTTCTATTTTTTTTCGTTTTTATCCGCTTCTCTTTTACTTTTGTGCAACCCATTGTCCTCAGTTTATAATCTTTCGTTGGATAATTTGATCGCCTAATGTATTCTCAAGTGATATCTTTGGTTTTAAACTGTTCTAAACAATTTAATCTTTAAACTGTTCTAAACAATTTAGTCTTTAAACTGTTCAATGTTAACCCCAACATTTTATTTTCATTCTGTACGCATTGGAACCAAATTTAATTGGTGCTAAAAACGTACAGAACCTTTAACTATACCATGAATGCAATGTTAGCCAATAAATAATTATAAAAGTAACTTTGTCATGGGCTATAATCATATCCAGCATCGTTCCATGATTGTTACCAACCTTTAAAATCAAATTTAGCATTAGTATGTTTTACCTCTCTGTTTCAATCTCAACCACTAGCAGCTACAATTTTGTATTAATCACCGTTATCAATTGTTCTTAACATATGATCATCAGATCCCAATATGTCGACCGTCGTTTTCCCTACCTTATCGTATGTGAAACGATTATATTTGCACTCACTTTTATTTATTGGAAACAGTATTTGTGTCTCTCCATATCCAATCCTTGGTGCAAAATGTTTACAATTTGAATCCGTTTCAGCTTCCTACAGCCAAATTGGAATCAATCTGAAAGAACTGGGTCTATTCACGGTCTTCAAGGTATAACATTGATCACTCTCAACTTTAAATTTCTTTTTCAACATTTTTTCCTTTTGCATTTCTAAAAAAAAAAAACCTTTATTCAATATATACTGATTTGAATCCGTTTCAGCTTCCTACAGCCAAATTGGAATCAATCTGAAAGAACTGGGTCTATTCGCGGTCTTCAAGGTATAACATTGATCACTCTCAACTTTAAATTTCTTTTTCAACATTTTTTCCTTTTGCATTTCTAAAAAAAAAAAACCTTTATTCAATATATACTGATTTGGTCACTTATAGCAAAAAAAAAACTTCATCTTTTTTGTCAATATTTAAGTTTTTTTTATTTTTCTTCATGAACCAGGTCAGCCCATAACTCTGTAACCATCCACGTATAGAACTTATCCATTTTTGTCATTGTAGTATTCATACAAATTTACTCTTATTTTTTGAGGTGTGATTGGTCTTAAAACACAGGAACCAGAATTTAATTGATCCCATTGTTCTGTACACAAAAATTCCATCGACCCAAAAACCTCACATGGAAAACAAACGTATTTACCTGTTTTTTTTTTTTTTGCTTCTCCTTAGTTTTAACCTATTTTTTCATTTTTTTTCCGCATCATTCTCTCTTTTCATGATTAGTTTTAGCGCACAGTTTTTAAACCTCTTAAACCCTGTTCGTTTTAGTGTTTTGCTTCATTATTAACATTAATTTGGATTTGTGATTGATATCAACTTGGTCAGGTTTTCATTACTTGCAAAGCATCTTTAGAGTAATGCCTTTAAACTATGTCAATTTTTCAATGAAAAACCTTGAGAGCCTTATTCAGTATTTGGCGATTAGATGAAACATCAACATAATTTCCCTCGCTTTAACCGATTCTCTGTGATTAAAGTCTGGAAAAATACAGTGAAAAAGATGCAGCTTTTTTATGGGATTGACAATTTTCGGCTTAGTTTTGGCTAAAAAAGAATTAGAGTGTTACTTAGTAAGTTGAGTTAAAAGATTTGCAGGATGCAACAGAGCACATAGGACAAGTTTTCAAATGAGTTAAGAAGATCCAGCTGAAAAGAGCATACAAGATAGAGAACTGGTATGCTACTTTGTCTTTGTGTTGGATTTTGATGTTTAGGTTCTGCTGCTCAGTAGACTTTATAGTGTTCTAAATCTGTTTTGTAAGTGTGCTAAAAGATTGGACATGTTATTGAATATTAGCCATGTAGTTTGAATTGGATATGTGATTGAATATTAGGTATTTAGTTTGAATTGATTTGGATATGTGGTTTATTGAATTGGAATTTGGATATGTGCTAATTTGAATTGGATATGTTGAATTAGAGATGTGCTACTTTGAATTGGATAGGTTGAATTGGAGTGTGCTATATTGATATAAGATGAACTGATGGTTACAGAACACACACGCACACACTCACCAGTCGTCACATACTCTGGGGCTGCATAACCATAGGTTCCCATGACTCGCGTCGAAACATGAGTTTTATCACCCTCAGGACTATCTTTCGCAAGTTCGAAATCCGAAAGCTTGGCATTGTAATCCTAAAATAACTCATTGATTTAACACATGAAAATTGTGCATTTTCATAATTAAAGTTTTAAATTGTCATCATTTTGTTCAAATGCACCATTTCCGTTTTGTTTCCCTTCTCTCATCTTGCAAGCACTCATGGTGTCCATTTCCTTTTAATTTCGGTTAATGCAGGTTTTGAAATTTGTGATGATCATTTTCATATTTCTATAAATTTTGAGAGAAAAAAGCATGTGAAAAGCCACATTAGTCTCTAGGCATAAATCACATTAGTCTAATTATGGCTAGGATAAAAAACCATGTCATAAACTGTGGCTTGGTTACATTGCAATTTCAATTTGGGATTTGAATTTATTTACAAAATTACGATCCTTTTTAAAATTTAGAAAAGAGCATGTTAAAAGACCATTTTTCTTTACAGGAACTTGAATAAAAAGTAGGCCATGAGTGAAAACCAACCAGCAAAGATTATTATGGTGATTCACTAATTTAAACATAAACTAGCTTTGAGAGTCATGCTCACCCATTGTTGGTTTTCCTTGCAAGCATATTTCCTACCCAAAGTTTCCCAAACTGTGTTCTCAAACCGCTGCATCGGCATATCTTTCCAACTTCTAATGGTCTTTGGTGCTAGAACATCTTCTAACTTCATTCTAAAAAAATTGATTCATAAGTAAAGACACCTAAAAGCAGCTAAGTAAACAGTTTAATCAAGAAGCAATTCAGAAGTAGAACCAAATAAGCCACAGTCCAACTTTCGCACACCCTCCGGCGTAATTTAATATCAGAAACCGTCTCCTGAATTCAAGTTTGCCTAGAGCTTCTAATTGTGTGTGCCCATAGTGTCTTTCTTGGTCTACAACCAAGGACTGATTAGTGAGAGCTTCAAAAATAGATAGTTATCATAAACAAACAATTGATCACGATGATGTTTTTTGTAATTTGGGTTTATAGTGCTTCTAAATGCTGTTTTGATTGAGTTTTCTGTGTTTGGTCGATTTGTTGTTGCGGATGGGTGATACGTTTTTTTTCTTTCAGTTAAGAAACGGTGCCTTTCAGAGTTTGTAATTTTTTGTTGGGGTTTTTTCAAGCTGCTGTGTTAAAGGTATATGATGTGTTTTTTTCTTTTCGCTTTATTCTTGCTGATTTGGGATGGTTTTTACATGTTTTCAAAGGATGTTAGTGTTCAAGCTCTGCTGATATTTTATTTTGTTCATTTTGATTTTATTTTTCAGTTGTGGTTATAGGATTGTTTTCTCTTTTTTTTTCTTTTTTCCCCCTCTGTACAGCTTTTCAAAAATTCAACTGTTGTTCTCAATTTGGTTATTTGAACCGAGGCCAGTTAGGCTGTGCCTTTGGAAGGTCTCACTGCTTTTAAAGTTGAATGGTGCTAACTGAATATAATGCGTTCATTCTTCAGTGTGTGTGAGCGTATGTGTATGCAGTGTATGCAGTGTATGCAGTGTATGAGTGCATGCAGTGTGTCACTTGGGCTTTTGGCTTTTTGAGGTATGTTCATTTATAGAGATTTTGTAACTGTATTATTGAATTTTTAATGTATGCTTGGATTTTAAAGGGGCACCGTATTTATGGGTTGTTGTACGATTCTAGGGAGATAAAAGAGGGGATGGAGAGGTCATGCTAAGGAGAATATATTACTTGCCACTGAGGAATATACTTCATATAATAGCAATGTGATGATGTGTGTCATGCTTTAACTAAGTGATATTTTTATGTAGTAAGAAAGCCATATAGAGAGTCACATTTTTTTTTTCTTTGGATTTGGTAACTGAAATTTTGTGTAAACTAATGTTTCATAAGAAACAGAACTTTTTTGGAAACCATCTCTTTCTAATCAAAGACTTTCTTCGCACTCATTGTACAATGTGTTTATATGCCAGCTCACTTGAATATATATAAAAAAAAACTGTTTGTTTATAATTGTGTTGAATTTATTTAACTTAAATGTGTTTTATTCATCCGATTACACCTGAAACAATAGGTTCCCGCAGCAACGCGCGGGCATATTTTCTCGTGAGGTCTATAATTGTAGTACAGAGGTACAGTAGCAAGTTGTTGGATATTAATTTGTGGGCCTAGGCTTTGGTACGAAAGTTTGAAATGTTTTAAAAAGAAGAAAGAATGCATCACCGTGCGTCCTTTTCTTTTTAGACTATATTTGTCTCCACATTTGGAGCGCAATGATTTAGATCCTCGTTGAATTCTCTCATTAAGGATTTCGGAGATCAATATATCATAATCATTTATAAAAAGTTATACTGTTACAATTAAATATTTTTTATATTTTTAAAAATAAAATAATCTCTTTTTATGTAAAAAATATATAAAAAAAATTATGACACACGATTTTTTATGAACGGTTATTATTCATTGGTATCTGGAATCTCCAGTAAGGGGATCTGGAGAGCATCTTAATTCGGGATATGTAAATAAGAAAACTCAATACATATTACTTGCTCCTCTGGTAGATTATGCATAAATTTTCTTTTAACAATAACACAATGATAGGCTGGCTATATATAACCATTTATTCTTCAATATGTTTTTGCAGAACGTGTTTAATTCACCAATTAAATTTAAGGAAAACTAATGAAAAGGGCTTGAAAACTTTGAGTTTTAATGATAAGGACAAAATAAAGGGTAAAGTAAATAGTACCATGATTGACTTTTTAGTGTAAAAATATGGTTTTTCGTTAAAGTGAACAGTACCGGGTGCTTTTCGTTAAAGTTCCCTTAAATTTATGACGTGAGTTATGTAGCTACCTACCCTTATCTTTCCTTAGCTGTAAACATATGTGGTTGATACGAGTTCTCCAATTAGGACAAGGATTGTATGCCCTCCCCACTTTCAGTGTTCTCCTGTTTGTGTGGTCACGGCTAAGTCACGTCAACATTTTATATTACTATTCATTTTTGTCTTATTATCTTTATAAAAAAAACAATATAAAATGTTGACGTGACTTAACCGTGACCACACAAAACAGGAGGACACGGGAGGGCACCGAAAGTAGAAGGGCAGACAATCCTTGTCCCTCCAATTAATGAAGTGACAGTCTGACAACGTGAATTTGGAATAGTCTTGATATTGTGAAGATATTTTTCTTTGTGATCGGAACACTGATGGTACACCATGTGTTTTATACAAGTGGTGAAAAATTATATTTTTACGTTATTAAATTTTTAACACACATATCTCACCATTTATATAATAACATGTAATGTACCATTTCGTATTCAGATCACACTAAAAAAATATCTCGATATTGTGCTAGCCAGATTTTTCTCACTTATACTGCTTGATTAATTTAGACCTGGATTGTCTGCCCTCTCCCATCTCATACCTTTCCCATCCCCTCCTATTTTATAATCCCATTGCTTTTTTATCTTATTATTTCTATAAAAAAAATCAATATAAAATGTTGACGTGGTTTAACCGTGACCACATAAATAAGAGGAGATGAGAATGGTATAGGATGGGAAGGGCAGACAATCCAAGTCCGATTAATTTAGCTTCTTCATAACTTATGATGTTAATGAGAGAAATGTTTTGAAATATTCTCTCAATAGCGCAATAATAATTGCCGCAAGATGGGCTTACAGGCCTCTGAGAATGAAAGCGATGAGAGAAAATCCAGTCAGAAGAATTTGCCCTAGACAAAGTTTGTGGTGGAATGGAGGAGCAACATCAATTAAGCTTGCAAAGACAACCATAACAACCAACTAATGAAAGAGTGGCGCTATTTACACACATTTATCAATTTTTAACCGTCGGATTGAATAAATTAAAAATAATTAAAAATATAGAAATTAATTTTATTATAGCAAATTTTCCAATAATTTTTAACGTAGTATTGTTAGATTATTTTAATCAAACCATAACAATCAACCAGTTTGCATGAATCCTCCTTAACCCTTTGCTATTGACAACAATCAATAACATAGTGACATCACCAATACTGGGCCGGCCCTGAGATTTTAGGGGCCTGTGCGAAAGTGAATTGGAGACTCTAAAAAGTACTAAAGATTTTATTTTTTTTATTTTTTTGTTCAAAAAAATTATTTTAGTTTTCAATTGAGCTTCTATAAATTCTAATAGCACAAACAAATTTAACATATTAAGAAGTGGAATAAACTGAAAAAATGATGGAGACAAGTTTCAAACCCATCCCTTAGGCCAATGTAAGAAAGCAATAATACCACTTGTGCTAAGACTCAAGCTTGTAATATTCTACACATACTACTATATATATATGTATATGCATGTAAAATTGAAAAATCGGGAGCCCTTCTGATTTGGGGGCCCTGTGCGATGGCACCACTTGCACCCCTCAGAACCGACCCTACACCAATATTACGTCATCTAGCAATAATGATCTCTACACGTGGAAATAGACGAACTTTCATTTTACGGACATAAATAATTGGGGGCCATGAGGCCCATAATTGTGGAAAAGAGGCATATTGCACCAGTAGCAAGTTGTTTTATATTCAAGCTGTGGGTTAAGGCTTTGGTATGAAAGTTTAAAAATGTTTTAAGAGGAAGAAAGAATGCTTCACCGTGCGTGGAAACCTTTTCTTTTAAGAAAAACTAATGAAAATGACTTGAAAACTTTGAGTTTTAATGATAAGGACAAGATAAAAGGTAAAGTGAATAGTATCAAGATTGGCTTTTTAGTGTAAAAATATGGTTTTTCGTTAAAGTGAACAATACCGGGAACTTTTCGTTAAAATTCCCTTTCTTTTATACTTTATTTGTCTCCACATTTAGTACGCAATAGGATATGTAAATAAGTTTTTTTACATACAATGAAATTCAAATTTAATTCGTTATTCAACAATGTTTTTTTCTAGAAAGTGTGTTCCTTC